AACTGTTGTTTGTGAAATGAAAACATACAGCTCACATTAGGTAGTAAAACCTGTCACCTGACCAGCTGAGAACTGTTGTTTGTGAAATGAAAACATACAGGTCACATTAGGTAGTAAAACCCATCACCTAACCAGCTGAGAACTGTTGTTTGTGAAATGAAAACATACAGCTCACATTAGGTAGTAAAACCCATCACCTGACCAGATGAGAACTGTTGTTTGTGAAATGAAAACATACAGCTCACATTAGGTAGTAAAACCTTTCACCTGACCAGCTGAGAACTGTTGTTTGTGAAATGAAAACATACAGCTCACATTAGGTAGTAAAACCTTCTCACCTAACCAGCTGAGAACTGTTGTTTTGTGCATCGGAGCCATGTCAACTCTTATGCATTAGAATATGAAGTTTGTGATGGTTTTGAGTGAGATGAGTACATGTTTGTTTTTTAACCATTCGAGTATTTAGTAGTCCAAAGAAGCAAAACTAAGATAATAACTTTAAACCTTCTACTCTGATCATTCTTGCTATTTAGCTTAATTCAACAAGTTTTTGAATATAAATAAACTAATTAGCTATGCTAAAAATGTTGGTTTCATTGAAGATAAAGTGTTTTACTTTTGTATAAACTAATATTTAGCAGTGAAAACTATTTGAGTATGTGTCACAGAGGAAAGATTTTCCTTTAGTTTCAATACTGTAATTCCAGACAAAGAACAATGGACTTTACAGTAATTATGAACTTGCAATGGGCCAGTTTCAACAGTTGCTCAACACTAAAGGATTTCTCATTACATTCATCAATACACTGGAAGGTCAGAAATCATTCACTATACGAGATAGGTAAGGTCAGATCAGGAGACGTATGAAATGAATATTAAATTATCAGAATAGTATTTCTGTAAAGTATAATGATCTAATGTAAAGAATACTTGTCTACTTAGTAGTTATTCATTTGATTGTCATCTCGTATTAGTGTAAACCATAACAAGCTAATATGAAGAAATACCTGTGTCCCTAGTAAGTTTTCATTTGATGTCAGCTTGTATTAGTGCAAACTGAGATGAGCAATGTGAAGGAATATCTGTTTCCATAGTAGGATTTCATTTGGCTGTTGGCATTGACATGTATTAGTGTAAACTATGATAAGCAGGGGCATCGAGAGCCAGCTCAGACACCGGGGTCAGTAATACTATCAGGCCCCCTTTCATTCTATTTATTAACTTTTGATGATTTTTCATAAAAGAAATTTAGGTGACAAATTTCTTCATGAATCCACGAAAGAGCAGTAGCCATTTTAGTTCATAAAGTAGTATACATTCCTAGTAAGCTTTGGAATATCCCACTGCCGGGCCCCTTAACAGACCCTGGAGCAGCTGCCCCCCCTCTCATCAGCCCTGATGATGAGCTAATGTGAAGGAATATCTGTCTCCAGAGTAGATGTTCATTTGATTGTTGATTTGTATTTGTGTAAACTATGAGGAGGTAATGTGAAGGAATACCTCTGTTCCTAGTAGGGCTTCATTTAATTGTTGGCATGTATTAATGTAAACTATGATGAGCTAATGTGAAGGAATACCTATCTCCATAGTAGATGTTCATTTGATTGTTGACTTGTATTTGTGTAAACTATGAGGAGGTAATGTGAAGGAATACCTCTGTTCCTAGTAGGGCTTCATTTAATTGTTGGCATTGACATGTATTAGTGTAAACTATTATAAGCTTATATGAAGGAATACCTGTCTCCCTAGTAGGTGTTCATTTGGTTGTTGACTTGTATTAGTTTAAACTGTGATCCACTAATGTGAAGGAGCACTTTTCTTCTTAGTAGATGTTCATTGTTGTGTCTTGTATTAGTGTAACCTATTATGAGTTAATGGAATACTTGTGTATACCGATATTTTCACAATTTACAGAGTAAATGTTGCTTCATTGCTGATGATTATTTTCATGGAAAAGATGGAATATGCCACAGAGTGAGTATGGTATTCCTTTTTTTTATAATAGCTAAATATTTTAATTGTGTGTTTGGGTATTAAATGAAAAATTTAATTCATTTAAAAAACATTCTGGGTGGCAATAAACCTCAATATTTAGGGTTAGATTTACAATGATTTGTAGATTGGCATTTGGTACTGATACAAAACTTGTTACTTTACTTTTATTAGTTATGATGTTGTCAGTTCACTGATTATTTGCTTGTTTTAATTCTAGGAAGAATTATGTTAAACATTAGGTATTTATAAAATGTTTACTTTCTTATCCCCCAGGGTACTAAAAACCCTTCTTGTGCAGCTAATTGAAAGGTCAGTCAAAACTAAGCACCCTCAACTGATGTTGCGAAGGTTAGTTGTTTTTATTTTCTGTTTAATTTTTAGTTAATACCCGTCAACTGACTGGGAATGTTTAAACTTGATTAAAACAATATAAGTTTAATAGCAATTATATATTTCAAAGTAATAACTTGAAGATAAACTTTATCTCAAAATGTTAGAATTATAACAAAACTTCTTCATAAACAACATTTACAGTTTGCTTTCCATCTACCAACAAATAAAGATTTTGAGGTGATCCCACCCTGGAACACCCTACATCTCATTGATCACGAGAAAAGCATGATTGCTTGAGAAACAATCCAACAACTTTCATACTTTGACCTTAAATCCCTTTAGAATATTCAAGATTGTTTGAGATTGACTCAATAGGCTGTGAGTAATTAACCAACAGGCTTTACAAAATAAAAATAGGGTTGAATTTTGACACACACACTCTTAGGACATTCCCTATAATTCATAGTGTTTACAGACAGAGTTTGGTTGAGATTGGCCCAATAGGCTTGGAGGAGTTAGGGTGCAAACAAACACACTTTTCATCTGTAGATATATATATATATAGATGGAGACTATTAAAAATATGTGTTGATTTTCTTACATAACGTGTATGGGTATGTCATCAAAAATAGTCTTGACTAGCTTAATAAAAACACAGTTGAGTAATCTTCGTAACTGTTTATTAACACATGAAAACAATTACACAAGACAATTCATAATCTCTGGACAAGTGATATTTACATGCTGAGCAGCAACTGGTAAATTAAACCTTGCATGGTAATTAATACCTGCAGAAGTGATGGTAACTAAAAACTACTGACTTCTTACCTAACTCATCATTTAATTATTATATACCTAAGCTCATCATACATTAATCTGATATGTTTACTATTATTAGCATAACACTATGTCACAAGCCAATAAACGATAAACTCCTCTTACAAAACATTTGACTGTGGAGTTACATCATACACTGTAGTTAAACTTAGACAAGATGATCAAAAGATAAGAAGGCAACTTGTAAGTTATTATTAATAGAAGTTCTGTGAAATGTAGTAAGTGTGTAATGATATGATGACATATGTCATGTAATGATTATGTACTATCAGGTGCCTGCATCTCAAATAAGCAACATGCTAACTAAATTTCTCATAATTATTGTGTGTAAATCTTTGCACAAAAATTTAGTCATTGGTGTTTCCAATATAGCTTTTATTGCTGTTATGTATGTAATTAACTAGGACTTAGATACTATAGAAAATCTTTTCAATCGGGAGATTCATTTACTTTCAGAATTTCTATACAACAAAAATACTTAACCTGTTAAATTTTTAGTTTTGAATAGTAAAGCTGAAGATTGTATATGATGCTAGGAGAATACGTAGTTTTAAAAAAATCAATTAAAGGTAAAAATACAAAACCTTTCTTTGCACTGATGAAGAAAGGTCAACCTTTTGAAAAATGGGCCTTTCTTTGCACTGATGAAGAAACGTCAACCTTTCGAAAGATGGGCCTTTCTTTGCACTGATGAAGAAACGTCAACCTTTCGAAAGATGGGCCTTTCTTTGCACTGATGAAGAAAGGTTAACCTTTTGAAAGATGGGCCTTTCTTTGCACTGATGAAGAAAGGTTAACCTTTTGAAAGATGGGCCTTTCTTTGCACTGATGAAGAAAGGTTAACCTTTCAAAAGATGGGCCTTTCTTTGCACTGATGAAGAAAGGTCAACCTTTCAAAAGCACTTGAGTTATAAGGTTGAAGGTATGAGAGGTTAAGGTTAGGAAACTCACTTAGATGTTGGTTGTTTTCAGGACAGAATCAGTAGTAGAGAAAATGTTGACCAACTGGATGGCCCTCAGTATGTATAATTACTTGAAGGTAAATAATGTTTTCCCTGCTGTTGTAGTATTTCCATGTAAAGTAAATTGTTGTATGTTAAAATTGTTATAAAATTTTTAAAGACTTGTTTTTAATATTTGCAAAATATGTTATTTGATTAATATAAACACCTGAGAATTAAACAGATAATTATGATTAAATTGAACAAAAAAAACTTTGTCTTTTTATCATCATTCCTTTTTTTTTATTAACTATTCCTGTTTTGTAAACAATTTGACTTTATGTAATTAAAAGCAATTCGTATATTCTAAAATCTAGTGCTGTTGTTGCTTGAGTAATGTTTTTGTTACCTCTCTCTTTAGATATCAGTTTATATATATATATATATATATATATATATATAATTAACTACATAACATCACTACTATAATTAAACACAAGAAATTAAAAACCTTTACTAAGTAAAGTGTTGGTTATTGTCTTTGT